TTTCCTTGATATTAATATTTTTGAAGTATAGTTAAACATACAATATTATATTATTTTCAGGTGACAACAGTGATTTAACAATTAGACACAAAATGCTCATCACAATAACTATAGTTACCATCTGTCATCATATAAAGTTATTACAATATTACTGATTTTTTTTTTGTACTTTTTATTCCTGTGACTTATTTATAACTGGAAGTTTGTATTTCTTTATCACTTTCCTCTTTGCAAATTTCCCTCTGTATTTTTTTTTAACTCAGGAAACTTTAGTTTTTAAAGTAATCTAGTATAAAAACAAGTTGAGGTTAAAAGAATATGTTCAGAGAGTGACTATGTTCAGCTTTGCAGGCCATATGGTCTTGACTGCAACTACTTAACTACCATTTTAGTGTGAAAGTAACCATAGATAATGTGCAAAGAAGTGGGCATGGCTAAGTCCCAATAAAACATTATTTACTTAAACAGGTGATAGGCTAGATATGGTCTTAAGATTATAGGTTGCCAATCCAATCCATGGTCTAGAGTCTACTTCCTTCTAGAGTTATTTTGCCCCAACTAAAGTGTACCCTTCTGGAATTTCTACTGAATGCCCTATGTATTCACCAAGGACTCTACATTCTGGCTGATAGAAACTAAGATATGTGGCCCTTTGTGACCTCTGCTAATTTTTCAGCCTATAGCTCCTTGTTATTCTCTTAAATTGTTCTCAGTTTCTCTTTTTGGATTTTATCCTACAAATGTAAAAACTAGAATTCAGACAAAGACTTAAGCATATCTCTGGATCTCCTTCTCTGTATGGCACCCTTTTCTGCACCACCCAGCATTGAAAATTCTAGCTGTCCCAGACTGTTTCCTCAACTATGTGTAAACCATTTTTTGCTGGGCTGACCCTATTGGAGTTATAGTCCAGAAAGTGCCTCCAATGCAGAAATCTAGGGGTGATCGTAGGGTGTGCCTTTTTTCATTTCTCTAAGGGATCCCAAACTTATATTTCCTGATGTTCAGTGTTTAAAACACTTGTTGTATATACTTTGCCCAAGTTTCTAGTTGTTTACTGCTGACGGATAATTCCATACTTTATTACTCTTTCTTACTATGTATATGCTGGGAGCAAAAGTCTTCTTATTACTTACCTTGATATTCAAATTGTCTCTGATTTGTCCAGTAAGTTTCTCTAATAGCTGCCTCCTTGAGCCTTTCATCATAATGCTATAATTTTTTGAGCACTTTATTATTTTCTGGTACAAAAAAAAAAATCTAGGTTCATCTTGAATTTTTTTGTTCTTAGCTCCAGACTATTTTCTCAAGGGGACCTGGCTCCTTTTAATGGGGAAGAGTATTTAAATAGAGTTTGGGATAGAGGAGTGACATTCAATTATGTTAAAATGTCACATGGTTCTATTTTGTTTAATGGACCGTAAGGGTCAAGGTTAAGGCACAGAGATCAGAAAGGAAAGTATTGTAATAAAATCACACAAAATGATAGTCACTTAGACCAAAATAGTAACAGTGAAAAATTGTATATGTTATGAAATAAAAAGTTTTATACACACACACACAAACACAGACACATATATGTGTTTTTAAATATAACATCCAAACAAAATTTTGAATGGAGGCCCACCTTGTAACTGAGGATTGGCCCACCTTGGGCCAAAATTTGGTTTGGATGTTAAGACTGACAGTATCGATTGTACACTAAAAGGGTTGAAAATATCTATTACTCACATAATGAGGCCTTCTGGGACATCAAAGTAGCTCCAAGGCATGTCCAAAAGTAGTTTTAGAGAGCAGGAAAGGAAACTGATTTAGAGTTTTCTGGTGGTTGGAGGGTAGGACTGGGGTGAGACTATCTGTGCACAGCTAAGGGCATGCTTGGTTCGAAACTCCTGCCACTAAGGGGAGCACCTGGGCTAGCTTACTAGGTTTCCAGATGTGGGACACAAAGGAAGCACTGTCAGCAATCAACTCAAACACCAAAAAGTGGAGTCAGACCCTACTACATAGACAAGATTTGTTTTTCCTCTGAGTAACTGGAGTTATAGAATTGCCATAAACACAGTTGAGGAAGGCTGTTCACTGGAAAAGTTTGGAGGCAAAGAATCAGAGTTTGCATTTCAGCAAGTTAAGCTTCAGATGTCTCTAAGATTTATTTACATTGGAGGTTTTTTTACTTTCATAATTTGTTCTTTTTTGTAAAAATAAACTGCCCACTAAGAAGGTCTCTGCCTAATTTGAATAATATATTTTTACTGAAAATCAAAGTTACATAATTCCATAAAAGCTTTAATATCAGAATCACTTAGAGATATACACCCTCCCTCTTAGTAGCTGATTTCTTTGGACAAAACAACAGACATGGAAAATAATTGGGAAATAGGTAAATAACATTAGCTGATGATTTTCTTTGATATTTACCAAAAAAAGTGTTTTATGGGTGGGGCACATGATAGCGGTGAAATTGTCTTTATTAGTGTGAAGGGCTTTCTGTTCAAAATAATCTTATGTAATATTTAAATTGTGTTTTTAAAATTATGTAGCTATTTATGTTTTAGAAATTTAAAAATTATTATTCTAAAATATTGGCTATGTCAGTTGTATAATATATGCCAATATATTATCTGTGATGTGTTTCCATTTAGAAACATGTTCAAATTACTTTCTTGTTTGTTTTAAAAGAATTAAATTTTAGCTTGATTCAGGCTCTTTGGAGAAAAGCATCTTAAGAACCAGTTTTGTTTTTACTCCCCAAACAAATTGGAATTGACAGAATCAATACAAGTGCCAACTTGTGTAAAATTAAATGATCTAGTAATTTCACAGGTTCTCAACAGCCCCATGAGAAATAATGCATCTGGTAGTCAACACTACCATTTTAGTTCATTGGTGGTCTTCATTTAGTTCAACTTGTGGTAGTTGACCTGGATCACTGCTCTTCTTTTCAAGTCAATAGATTTAAAAAATAGTTCAGAAGACAGGGCGCCTGGGTGGCTCAGTTGGTTAAGCGACTGCCTTTGGCTCAGGTCATGATCCTGGAGTCCCGGGATCGAGTCCCACATCGGGCTCCCTGCTCGGCAGGGAGTCTGCTTCTCCCTCTGACCCTCCTCCCTCTCATGCTCTCTCTCTCTCATTCTCTCTCTCAAATAAATAAATAAATAAATAAAATCTTTAAAAAAATATATAGCTCAGAAGACAATAGACCTAGGTCCAAATTGTATCTCTGCTCTTGAAAAATCACCAAGTCATTTAACATCTATAATCCTCATTTATTTTTCATCTCTAAATGAAGGTTAATGTATGTGCTCTCCATTTCTGTGTAGCTCAGAAATGCTTTAATGTTATGATTCTGAGTCAAGCTCTGTGATTGAAACATTAAAGGCCTTTTGTGGTACCCCGAATCTGCTAAAACCGAACTGGGCAGCTAAATAAAAATAGTTTAATCCCACGCTGCAAGAAAGGAAAATGTTAGCAATTAACCCAGACAAGAAAGTTTTGTTAGAGGCAGAATGCATGGTTGAAACTTATTTTCAAAGGCTTTGCAAGTGTAAAGGGCATTTAATTAGGCAATTTTGAACAAACAGTCCAGAAACAGCTTAGCACGCAAAATGGCTAGAAGCCTTCAGAACACTAGTCCTCTCCCCGGTAGTTTCTACATGGCATCCCATCCATTTCCTCCCACTTCCTCCCTCCTAGCCATCTATTTTCTAAAATGTAGGACTGATCTAGGACATGAAAGCTTCTTTATGAGATTTTATCAGCAGTTTTCAGCTCTCAGAACACCTTCTAGTGAATCCCTGAATCACCCCCAGCTCTAATCCACACTAGTCCTCAGCTACCAGACAACCCCAGGCCATGGAAGCTACCACATAGACATAAAATAGGGAGGCATTATCAGTTTCCGTATGTACCAGATGGGGAAGACAGGAAGGAAGAGAATTTCTGGTACTGTAGTGTCACAGAGCAACAGGGTAGTGGATATCCTAAGGTGGATCTTTGAATGAATTTTTCTACTAAAATATTGGTACCCTGGTGTTACACCCTATTATAATATTGGAGCAGGATAATAATAATACCTTAAATATGTATATTGAACTGCTTTGTCATTTCCAGAGCACTGTATTTTACTCATTCATGTATTTGAGTAATATTTTCTGATCATTTACTAATGGCCAGGCTCTGTTCTAGGCCTTGGGGATATCAACAATAGTCTCTTTAATTAGCTTAACTTCTGTAGGTTGTACTATTTTTTTTTCTCTTTTTAGATAAACTAAACTCATCAAGGGTAGGATGATCCAAGTCTCATAGCTGAGAAGGATCAATACCAGAGTTCAAACTCAGGTCTTCAAAAACATTGCTCTTTATTTTAAGCTTTCTGGGGGTCGGGGGGTGGGAATCAGCGAAAAATAAAACTTTATTGTTTACATTTCTTTGTAGGGAAATTGTTTCTAAAATTCTAAACAATTGACAGATATAAATGCATTTTGGAGAAAAATCTGTTAGAAAGTTGAATATTACTTATATGTTCATACCCCTGCTTCTGTGGAAATTATATATATATATATTTGGTTTCTGATAAATATTAAAATTCATGGGTGGTAGTGGAATGTACTTCCAAATACACCATAGTACATAAGCTCTTAGTACCCTAAAGATTTTGTTTCAGGATAAAAAATGGAAAGCCTCACTGGCTTTCAGATCTAATTTATATTCTTGAACTTAGCTTACAGGAAATGCTGTATTTAAAGAGTCTTGGGGTACTTTCCTAGATCAATAAAATGATACTTGATTTTTTTTTTTCATTTTGAATATTCCTTGTGAGTGATCTATCGGCCAGAACCCTGGAGGGGATCAGGAGAGAAAGATGGGGATCAGATAACTCATACTCCTGAGAACACCATGTTTCTTTATATGTTAAAGTGAATCTACTCTTACTAGCTTTTAAGCTTAGTGATGTGTTAGTAGTGTTTCCTCATCTTCATTTATTTTCTGTTTTCTAGGCTGCCCTCCTGGCTATCGGGAATGTCAGAATGGCAAATGTTATAAACCAGAGCAAAGCTGTAATTTTGTAGATGACTGTGGAGATGATACGGATGAAAATGAATGTGGTACCTCCTGTACTTTTGAGAAAGGCTGGTGTGGCTGGCAAAACTCCCTGGCTGAAAACTTTGATTGGGCTTTGGGAGTTGGCTCTCGTCAGGGCCTAAGACCTCCCGAAGACCACACACTTGGAAACAAAAATGGTAGGTTATGAGGCTTTCCTCATATTTACAGTGAGCAGCATCTCATTGTCTTCTTTGACAGCAACTGGAGAGCTCTGTTGAGACTACCATGGGGCCATGGCTAGCGAGTCAGGTATCTGATGAGTATATTTGTCTCCTGGGGCTGCCATCACAAAGTACTGGAAATGTAAAACCATAGACATTATCTCACAGTTCTAGAAGCTAGATGGGAGAAATCAAGGTGTCAGCTGAACAGGTTCCTTTTCAGTGCTGTGAGGGAGAATCACCTATTCTGTGCCTCTCTCCAAGCTGCTGGTGGTGGTCTCACACATTACTTGGCTTATAGATGGTGTTTTCCTGTGTCTTTACATTGTCTTCCCTCTATGCACATCTGTCTCTGTGTCCAAATTTACCCTTTTCATTACCACATGGTCTTCATGTGGATGAGGGCCCACTCTGATGATTTCATTTTAATTTGGTCATCCACAAAGACCTTATTTCCAAATAAAGTCACTTTCACAGGGACTGGAAATAGGACTTCACCATCTTTGGGGAGGGGCATAATTCAACACATAACAAGGAGTAACCAAATTTTAATATTGTTCTGATAATTGTAGATGGATGATAATGTATGTTGCCTTTGGGCACCTTTCCTAAATGACCCATGTTTATAATTAACCCTGAATTCTGCCACTCATTGGATCGTTAGCATGTCATATAGCTTTTCAGATTCTCAAATTTCTCATCTGCACGTGGAGAGAACCCTGTTTTCCCTGTGTACCAAGCAGGGTTTAGAGAAATGAGATGATACGTATGAAGGGAAAGCAGGTTTGAAAGCTAAAGGGGGTAACGTGCAGATAACTGTAAAGTCACACATGTCAGACATGTTGGGAATGCCTCATTTTTGCAGTGAGTAGATGAGGTCTGGTCTCCGACTCATTGGTCAAAGGACAAAGGATGTTAGCAGAATAAAGAAAGGACCCTGAATTCCTGGGAGCCACAGAATAGAAAGAAGGTGTCTAAGAGTAGCAACTGCTCAGGCCTATGATGCAACAAAACCCTCCAAGCCAAACTGACCACACCAGAGAAATGAAGGTCTGAGCTCCATGCAAACACTCAGCTGTGCATTGATAAAATGTGTTGAGTATTTGGATACATAAATATAAAACTCATTATCTTCCATGTTACATACTAAGATTCTCAGCATTTTATTTGTGCACTCAGTAGATGACTGCATTTTTGGAAGTACGTTGTAATTCCTTTATTTTTCATTGGTAATATCTTTGCATTGTTTTACAGGAACTGGAAAGGATAGGGAGTCCATTAAATGATTTCTATAACTATCTTGTTGATTCAGCACCATAAATATCCTGTCACATCAGTTGATCTGCATACCGTGAAGTACTTTGCTCAAAGCACAGACAGTTGGAAATTGTTCTGTCCGTGAGCTAGAAGCAAGGCTATTTGATTTTCTTTCTGTTTCAGATGGAAATGCCTTTGACAGCTCATATCCTATGAAATATAATTAAAAACCCTAACTAAGATGGAAAAGCTAAAATGATCCCCCCTCATTGTTGTTTCTGTTCTTTCTGAATGCTGTCCTTCTTCCTAGGGCACTTCTTGTATCTGGAGGCTACTCCAGTGGGCCTTCAGGGTGAAGAAGCACACCTCAGGAGTGCCGTGTGGCAAGAATCCAGCGCTGCCTGCACCCTAAGCTTCTGGTATTTCATATCTGCAAAAGCCACGGGGTCCATTCAGATCCTCATTAAGGTAGGATCTTTGTCTGTGATCCCTCTGAGCTTAGCGAAGATTCCTATGGGCAGCCCACGGCCAAAGAGAGTTTTCACAATTAGTCTAACTTGGCCAGAGAAAGCTTCCTTTTATCGTGGGGAGCTTCTACTTGGGGTTCAAATGCTCTGTGGGGTTTGATAAGTGGGGCATGGGAGCGAGCTTTGAGCTCCACATCATACCCTGTGGTTATGACTGAATCCTAGAGATTCTTTTTATGATAACGTTTAGTTGAAGACTCATAAATTTCTTCTTGCTGTCTTGGCATTTCCTTGCCTATCCTTTTCAGTAAAAGAAAATAGATTGTTTGTACATCTGAAGGGAGAGAAACTATCCATTTTAACTCCTGTGTGAGCACTCACAAAGGGAGCTAATATTAGACACCATGCCAAGGACTGAACCGCTCAGAAGAATGATCAAGGTGTGATTACATTGAACTACTTATTAAATATGACACCATAATGCATTTTCTTAGTGAGGATTAATTGGATGTTTCTGTCAGGGCTTTAATTTAGTATAACAAAGTGACAGTGTTCAGGGAAAAAAATAACAAAGTATATGTTAATATTAATAAGATTTGGTCCATACACCTCTGCTCTTTGGCAAGTTAAAGCGGCAGCAAAAAGGAGATGAGTGTGTGTTGTGTGTGTGTGTTCATTTCGAGAATCTAGTGAGAAATCTGAGAAAGCTGACTTTAAAAACATACTCTAGAGGCCACTGCTGTTTTATCACACATGAGCTTTGCTGGAGTGCCCTGGCGCTGTTGGAGAACATCTGACTAGAATACCAAAGGGCTCCAGTGTGTGAAGAGCTCATGGCTACATAGTCTGTGTTTTATCCGAAACCTGAGGTAACTTTATAAGTTCGTGTTCTTCTATAATCAGAAATGCCTGCCTGATAAAATACATGCAGCAAATACTGCAGTGAGTTATGCTTATATTTAAATAGAGAAGCTTAAATGTAATGCTGAAAGTTCTCACAAGAGTCTTTTGCTTGCACACTACTGAACGGGATGCTTGGTTACACAGTGAAGGATTTCGCACCTGAAGGATTTTGCACCACTTTGTGGGTTTTGCTGTTAGTATTTGCTTCTCTCATGTTCACCTTTAATCTCTCTTACATCAGAGTAACAAACGTTTACCATGAAATGTGAAGTTAAGCTATTTTGCTCTCTAAGTCTTCCTGTGAAGTCAGGTTGAACTCCTGTGGTTCCTCCAACTGATTCCTATGTGCATTTAACAGCATTTTTAAAGAACTATCTTCCTACCATATTTTTTAAAACACAGTAACACTTGTTACAAAAAAAAAGTATGCTTATTCTCCTTTAGTGACATTTTTTGCAAAGAGAAATCTTTCATTGCATATATTGATTTACATTCAGGAATTTTAGTGCAATCATTTTATTTTGGTAATTAATATGATACGTATTTTTTATCATCATTACAAAGTCCTTCTTAGGCTGCTCTCTCTGTGGAACCATGCTGGATTTTAACCTGCTCATTAGGTTGAAAGCATCCTAGCCAGATGGCAAACACAATAGGGGCAGGGATTCTGTCTTTTCTCTCTTTCTTTACGTATCTCTTTTGAAATGGTCTCAATTTATGCATGTGTTGCCTCCGGCTCAGTCTCCCCTGTCTATTCTCAGGAATGTCTCCTTCTGTGTTTCCCTCTTTTGCCTCCATACCAAACCTAACATAATGTGGCAGATTCAGCTTTTCACAAAACTTTCCTTGACCACTTTTGCCCACCATGATTTCTCCTTCTCAGAGTATCCCTCACAGCTCCAGAAATTCTTCTTTCTCACTAAAGGTTCAATTGTATTTATCCTATTTCAACAGGTAGGTCATAAAATCTTGAGAGCAAGATCTTGAAGTTTTAATCTTAATGTCCCTCTGAGTTCTTCAGAGAAGGGATTGCAGAAAAGGAGAGGTATCCTCCTAGAGCCCACTGCCAGGCTCAAGGCACCCCTTTTTGGGACAGTCCTTATGAAGGAATGGCTGTTATGGGTTACATGCACGACAATAAATTCTAGTCTGGGAAAGGGGGTGTCGTTCAAGATGGCAGTGTAGGAAGACCCTAAACACAACTCCTTCCTTGGACACAACAAATTTATAGCTGTGTATGTAATAGTTTTCCTCTGTAAACAAACAAACAAAAATCCCTGAGAACTAGATGGCTAGCATTTCCACAACAAAAGACAAAAGAGACTCTTTGAGAAGGACAGGAGAGGTAGAGACATGTCCTCCCTGGGACCCTATCCCAGATGCAGTGACCCCACAATTGGGAAGGATCACCAAAATTTAGAATTCTCCCTCAAGGAGTGAAGGGCTTGTTCCCCACATCAGGCACCCTGACATTGAGGGCTAGCACCAGAAAGATGAGCCTGCCAAATGCCTGATTTTAAAAATAAATGGGGATGAAGACCAGGAGAATCATTGAACTATAAGGAACATATACTCCACTCTAAAAGGGCTCACATGCACACCCACTCACACTGAGATCTAGCACAAGAGGAACAGACTGAAAAGTACCTAGACCAGCAAGGGAGATCCACTTACTAATTTTAAAATGACTGCCAGGGAGGCAGGATCCCGTGAGGACTTTATCCAGGGATGGAAGTGCTGGTGCATCCATTCTTGCCATTCATTCTGACTTCCTGGTGATGCAACAAATGGGTGTCATTTTTGGTGCCCTCCCTCTAGCTAACACGTGGAGGGCATGGTCTGCCCTCCCCACGCATAAGCAGGCTGGGGGACACACCCCTAGTTCCACTCACCCTGTGCATTATTGGAGCTACAACAAGGCAGATGAATGCCCTGAACCCTACCCACCCTGTGCACAACTGGGATGGTTAAGTGATGTGAGTCCCGATCTCCCTGCACAGCAACTGTGGCCCTATCGGAGTCGGCATACTCACGCAGCCATAGAGTGCCTGGTTCTAGTGGCCAGGGAAGATGGTGCTTCTGCATCACATGGAAAACTTCTACACAAGACCACCCTTTCAAGACTGAGGGGGTAGCCATTCCACCTAATATAGAGAGAGAAACAGAGAGAGGCAAAATGAGGAGACAGAGGAATGTATTTCAAACCAAACAATAAGGAAAATGCTCAGAGAAAGACCTTAATGAAACTGAGATAAGCAACAAACTTAATAAAGAATTCATAGTAATGGCCATAGAGATGCTCACTGATCTTGGGAGAAGAACGGATGAACACAGCAAGAACTTCAACAAAGTGACAGAAAAAAGAAAAAGAAAAAAACAAAACAAAAAAAACCCAAAGTGACAGAAAATAGAAAATAACAAGCAGAGGTTAAAACTACACAGAGAAATACATTATAGGGTTTCAACAACAGAATGGATGGAACAGAAGCATGAATCAGTGAACCAGAAACACAGCAATGGAAAACACCCAATCACAGCTGAAAATTAGAACAAAAAAGAATTTTAAAAAGACAGGATGCCTTAAGGGACCTCCAGGACAGTATCAAGCAGAATAACATTTTCATTATTGGAGTCCCAGAAGGAGGAGAAAGAGAAAGGGCTAGAAAAATTCTCAGAGAAATAATGGCAGAAAACTTTTCCTAATTCCAGGAAGGAAACAAATATCCAAGTCCAGAAAACCCAGAGAGTTCCAAATAAGGTGAACCCAGTGGTGTCTGGGTGGCTCAGTCAGTTGAGCGGCCAGCTGTTGATTTTGGTTCAGGTCGTGATCTCATGGGTTGTGGGATCGAGCCCCACATCGGGCTCCATGCTCAGCGGAAAGACTACTTGAAGATTCTCTCCTTCTGCCCCTCCCTCTGCTCTCTCTCTCTCAATCTCTCAAATAAGTAAGTAAGTAAATAAATAAATAAATAAATAAATAAATCTTTTTGAAAAAGAGAAAAGATGAACCCAAAGAGAAACACACCGAGACACATTATAATTAAAATGGTAAAAATTAATAATAGAAGAAATTAAAAGCAAGAGAAAAGCAACCTACTGTATAAAAGGGAACCATTATAAGGCTATCAGCAGGTTTCAGCAGGAACTTTACAGGTCAGAAGGGCATGCATGGCATGATATATTTGAAGTGCTGAAGGGGAAAAAATCCTAACCAAGAATTCTCTACCTGGCAAGCTTATCATTCAGAACTGAAGAAGAGATAGAGTTTTCCAGGAAGCAGAAGCTAAAGTAGTTCATCACCACTGAATCTGACCATAAAAGGAATGTTAACAGAGGTACAGGTCTGTGATTCAACAGTCTTACACTGTACCTCTGAAACAAATAAGACATTATATGTTTAAAAAAAAAAAGAAGATAGCAGGAAGGGAAAAATGAAGGGGGGGAAATCGGAGCGGGAGACGAACCATGAGAGACTATGGACTCTGAGAAACAAACTGAGGGTTCTAGAGGGGAGGGGGAGGGGGGAGGGGGATGGGTTAGCCCGGTGATGGGTATTAAAGAGGGCAAGTACTGAATGGAGCACTGGGTGTTATACGCAAACAATAAATCATGGAACACTACATCAAAAAAAAAAAAAAAAGAATGTTAAAGGGGGTTTTCTGAGCTCAAAAGAAAAAGACGCAAATACTAGTAGGAAAACATATGAAAGTTAAAAATGGAACTGGAAAAGATAAGTAATCAAGGTAGTGGTTCAACAACTTACAAAGCGAGTATGAAGGGTAAAAGACGTAAAATTAAATAAAACTACAGTAATTAGTTAAGGGATAAATAAAATAAAAAAGATGTAAAATGTGTTACCAAAAGTATAAAATGCACAGTTGGGGAGTAAAAATATAAAGCTTTAGAATATGTTCAAAATTAACTTACTGTCAAAGGAGACTGTTACATACGTGTTATAGGTGAACCTCACAGTAACCACAAAGAAAAAACTTACAGTTAAGAATACAAAGGTAAAAGACAAAGGAATCTAAATATAAAGAAAACAAACACAAAGGAACAAACCAAGAAAAGAACAGAGATGAACAACAAAAATAGCCA